AGGGGAGTGGCTGCGCCGACTTGCGGTAACGGCGAGGAAGAGCGGCCTGCAGGCCCCCGAGCGCCCGCGGAGCGGCGGCGTAGGGCGCAGGTGCGAGGTTAGAGGTTGGGGGGGGGGCAGAAGGGCGAGAGGGGTGCTTGGTAAACACGGGGACCTGCAAAATTTTTTGATTTTGATGCCAAAAGCTGACTCTGCACTTCGACTTAGTCCCCCTGTAAAAGATTTCATTAAGCTAGCAAATCCAACTGGTAGAAAAAAGGCCTAAGACTTGCTTTCAAGTGGCCCCTTCATCTATTTTTATGGGGGTTTAAAAGGAAAGGAAATACAGATGATCATCCTTCTTCCCCTTCCCAAATACAAAAGCTGTTACTTCTAGGTAATACACCAGAATTTTCCATTTTCATAACCAAAGGCTAACCTGGAACAATGGCCCATCTCTACATTAAGTAACTGCTTTGTAAATGCAGAACAGCATAGAGGTGCTCCGCAGAGCTGGACCTAAAGTTTAGGGGAAAGATGGGTTTAGTGCTTATCCTTATACATAAAACACCACCAACCATCCACCAAAAAACCCCCAACCTCCCAACTGGTTTTAAAGGTAGCGCCCTCCTCCCTGTGAAATACACCTTATTGCACTCTCTCTCCAGCTGATCAACAACCTAAAATTTAATCCCTACAATTAGATGTTTTAAAATGCTACTGCGAGATTTCCAAACCTTTAGCTGCAGCATCAGTGATTTTAGTAAGCACTCTTGATACTCCATCACTAAACAAAAAAAGCACTGTGGGTAAAACACAAGTACATCACCTTTAAAGTGACCCCAAAAAATAAAAATGCAGAGAACAAATGGTGCTTTACCCATTAAAAAGGGTGTTGGTTTTTTTGGTTGTTTTGGGGGTGTGGGGGGTGTAATAGTTGAAACATTCAGTAAAGATACTGACAAGTGGCTCTTAAAATAGTGGCTGGACTATATTAAAAAGGTTTTATTGCAATTATACAGAAGTTACAGGAATTTTAGAAGTACATAGAGTCAGTAGACCATTAGAAGTTCAAATGATCAAGGTCAGTTTTCTCCAAGCAATTAAGGCAACTGGATGCAATGTCTCTAATATAAACAGTAAATGGATATTTTACTAGCCACAGATTAAAAGTAGAAAAACTAAGATCACAGATTTAAACAGGCATAACAGAATGCAGCTTTTTTGTCCATATTTGGCAGAAATTCAATTGTTAATTACAATGTACACCAATAAAATGCATCTGTTAGAAAAATACAGGAACAGGTGAAAAGTTATCTGAATCAAACATTTTAAATCTGAGTCTGAAGAAAAGTTTAAGTTCTGCAGTCTGAAAATAAGAAGCTAAGCTATTCAGCACAGCTGAAACACATGACTGTTTTTGTTTTTCTTTATAGAAGATTAATCTACTCTCACTTCCTTCCCAGTCTAGTTGAGAACTAGCACTAGATAAAGAAATTCTCTCATTGCCTCTATATGCTGTTAAAAGACTGGTTTCAGGGGCACATGGCCATTTCTAGGTTGCCCAAAGATTAAATTTCACATTAGTTTTTATAAAAATGAAGCTACCCTCATAGTTTTAAGTGAATTTACTGATCAAATGTAAACTTCGCTCTGAAGTATCATTAAAGTTTCTGCTTAAAAGTAACAGAAGTTTTTGCAACATTAGCCTTTCCAATTAAAATTCAAGTCAAATAGCCTCTGTTTTTAAAGCAAAAAATTAACAGCAAAATATAACCAAGTACTTTACAAGTATTCTGCATACCCCAAAGAACAACATACACAAGTTTTAGCACTATAATGCTTTCCTTGGAAGTCATTTCTCTTCAGTCCTAGGATCAGTGTAAGAAGAACCACCCCCATTTAATCCTGCACTTAAGTCCATTTGTCAAACTTTTGCCCTACATTGAGTAAGCAAAACATTTGGTGACTCTACTTTTAACAGGTAAAAAAAAACCCTCCATGTAACAAGCAAACAAAAAAACCCCCTCAGAGTGAAGACTGTCATTAAAATTAGTGGTTTTTTAAAGAACATTAGAATAGTTCAAGTTAACTAATTTTTCATTTAAAGATAACCATTACAGAGTTAAGGCCAAAGCAAAACCACTGTAAATGTAATCAATACAGTAAACTCTTAAAAGCAATATAATATTCCTTTCTCAAACTTTATCTTAGCCTTTGAATCCTATCAACATGACTGTTGACCAGTTACTCTATACAGTTGTTGAGTTCTCCTCTTCAAGTATGGGCTGTGTTTTTATGTGCTTTATTTAAGCTTGCAGGCAACTTTTGGATTTTTATTTCCACAGGCACTTTATTCACAAAAAAACCCCACTCCTTGTCAAAAGAATATTGAAAATATTCGGAAGTTCTGAGTTAAGACTAGTGCACTCACAAATATGTTTCTGTAACTCACAGCAGACGCTAATGATAAAAATCCACTCTCAGTCAAGTGTGTCACATGTTCACAAAGGTTTTGTTTTTGCAGGGCATTTAAACATGCAGCCATTTATCTCTGTTAACATTTCTGTACATATTGCACTTTTTTTTTGGTAAATTATAAAAAAAAACAACCCGTTCTCCCTGAAGCATCTAGTAATTAAAATATAGGAAAGTTGTATTTCAAGGTGGCTTTACAACTGTTATGGATGACTTTGTTCTATCTTTGGCTCTTCCAAGTGTCCTACCATTAAAGCAAGCACTGAGGCAGGTAGCAAGACACAATACAGACTGTTGTTACTAGACTATCCATCTTTACCCAACAACAGCAACAAAAAAAAAAAAAAACAGTCAGCCCTGCTTTTATCCTGGATGGTGGGTTTTTTGCTGCTTTAAATTGTTATTCTAGACCTGGACCATTCTTTGCACAGACACAGCAGTTCCATAAAATAAATCTTTGAAAAAGCTTTTTATTTCTTGAAGTACTAGGTGCAAGTGATTCAAGAGAACTTATTCCAGGATATGAGAAGTAGTGGTTTATTGACCAAAATCTCAGGGTGCAACTACTTCAGAGCAGTGAAGTGTGCCAGTGTTCCAGACTGTACCCTTGCACATGCACCCTGCTCGCTCACCAGTGTGGCATCTGGCATCTGCTCTGCATGTTACCATGTCCATATCAATTAAGACCATCATACTTATTTCAGAGTTGTCTATAGTAGGATTTCCAAAAATGTTTACAACTGCAGGTTGAAAAGTAAGGGACCTTTAACAAATAAAGGCTTTGTATTCTCCATGGAGTAAAAGTATACGTATTGCTGCTCAAAGATTCTTCTTGGAAAGATATGAAAGTGCACTGTCCTTCATTATATGCAACATAAAAGCATAACCAAAGAGAAAAAAAAACCACACAATATCTTCTGCAACAGAAGGCACAAGCTAGTTTATCTTGAGGTTGCTTATGAAGCTTTAAAAACCAAGTTAGAAAATTACTTTGCTGTTCCACAATCTAAACAATCCTAGTTTAAGGTTTTCATGTGGTTTTATCCTGCCCTACTATGAATTGCCTTGATAATTATGTCGTTTCACTTCTGTTCTGTAGATACAGTTACACAGTCATGTTCCTTTAAGCATTTATTTTTCAGAAGTTTCAGCAAAAGACAGATCTACACTGCATAATCAGGTGTTCTCCTGATACAGTTTTGTCCATTTCACATCCTCTCTACTAGGCTTCAAAAGTGATGACGAAGACAAAACTTTTTTTTAAACTATTATTAGCCTATGCCTTATTCCTACCCAATACAATTCTTACGTTTTAGACCAAGTTTCAGATCATCAACTATCCCATGCATATATGAAAATTTAATCCTGGACACACAGTCTAGACCCATATACACTTCTAGCATTTTCCTGCGTTAAAAATACTGTGATGTTTTGCAGTTTTTATATAAAACAGAAATAGAAAAGGGTCATATTTATATAAAAAGCATTTGGAACAGGCTTAAAATGTAGAGAAATCTTGCTTTATTGAAAAGGTGTCACAACAGATTTCCTAAACTTTCATGGGTAATAGAGTATCAGCTCTTAATTTTTAAGAGATCATTAGCACCGTAAATGACATAGGCTTATAATTTTTAAAGATGTGTGTGGTCATGTAAGCAGTCCAACAAAGTACTGCATTTTTTACTACACAGGCTAACCATAAAAATGTTCAACTTGTATGTGCTGAGTAAACCACATAGGACAGTATCTTTAATGTTTTTACCAAATTCATGGTCAACAGTGCAAGTGATTATGATGTATAGCACCTTTGGAGATAAAAGCTACAAAATGCTCACATTATTGCTTGCTTTTTTTTTTTTTTTTTTTTTTTTTAAACAATAGCTTTTTACACAGTGAACATTGATTGCAACATCCTACAAGTCACAACTCTAGTATCTCATGGTATACACCAAACCACAACACTGAGTTGTCATCCACTTAACCAAAACAGTTGATGGGCTAGAAAGTGTAATCCTGAACATTTTGCAACATAAAAGCCAACTCTTACTAATTATGAACAATTTATGTAAAAATGAGGCCCAGTTTGCAAACATTAGTAGGAACTACAGCACAAAATGTCTCTATATCATATCATTTGTTATTGTAGCATTATGCTGTACAGCATTTGCAGAACTGGACCCTAAAGATACAAAAAAAAGGCCTTATATTAGCTCCTTATCATACAAGCATTACAGCATTCCTATATTACCATCTAGGGTTCCCTGGCTGCCAACAGCCATTCTTGCCTAGTTTTCCCAGGCTGGATATGTATCTCCAATTAATGTACAGAGCTACGGATTAAACCTAGGAGAAGTCATGCAAGAAAAGCTGTCAGCCAACGAGGATGAAACCATGTTGAAGTTAAAAGTGTTTTTACGTAAGTCTTTGGAGTTCTCTAAATCACATGGAAAGCACGAGAAGGGCAACCATCAAACCATTATTTCCTCTTTTACTTTCAGGTTCCTTGGTGTGACCCTGACCTCACAACTGCCAGAACTTATCTTTTTCACATCTCACACATGCTCTCCTGAATCAGAAAAATAAACAAAATGAATGTACCAAACATTTAAAGAGCAAGAATTGATTCCTGAGATAATAAGTATATGCCCTAGGATGTTAAGTTTTGTACTTTAAAATAATTTCAAGTCTCAAATTGTGCAAAGATGTCTGATATAACACCTTTTGGATTTAATTTTGGAGCCTTCTCAAATGTAAATCCTACTCTTCTGTATTGAGCCATTTAGGAAAGGCAGTTAATAGAAGCAGATAAAGACAGGAGCCCAAAGCAGGCTAGGCTAAAGCATAAGCAGCATTCTGAGTGGCAACAAACAAAAAATGCAAGACTGTTTTTTACATAAAAGCAACAAAGCACTTGTAACAAATTACTCAAAATGGAAGAAGGGTTGGAGTTTAGCAATATTGTTTCAGATCCATATATGTACACGTCACTGGTAGAGGTAAAAGTAAGCAGGGAGATAAATTTCCTCTTAATATTCTCAGCACTCCCACCATCTTTAAAAAAAATGACAGCAACAATAATATAAAAACAAAACAGACCCACTCATTTTAAATGCAACTCACATGCTTGAAGTAGCACCAGATTATATACTCCGTTGAATTAGAAAACAGCACTGTGATGACTGGCTTTACAGCCTTTTCAGCCCCCTTTCACGGTTTTCTGGTTTGTAAGTGATCTTCACTACACTTTTTAGCTATTGCCACCTTTGGTACTGTGCCTTCAGACTGAAAGGAGCTCAACAGGACAAGCAAAGATGGCTCACAGCCTACTATGCAAGTACAAACTACTCTTCCCAGAGAAGCCTCTGTGTACTGCATCCAATATTGCATATGCCACAGAGACCCCTCACTACACACACAAGTGCGCATGGTGCCTGGGTCCCCAACTGCTCAAGATGCCTTTAGTTCAGGCTAGTTCTAACCACTTCTAATTTTTTTTTTTTTTAAAAAGCAGAAGTCACCTTCAAACATATTTTGAAGTTATTTTGTGAAAATTAATCTCAGTTGGCACAAAGTAGATGCTTCTGTAACAAGACTTTGCAATTTCACAAATACTAACCTCCTAAAGACGTTATTATGCAGAGCACAAATACAAGAGCTGAAATCAATATTATATAGGCATAGCTTGAAAGAATACACCTGCTAGAAGAAACCCATGCATAGAGACTTTAAAAACACCTTAGGCACTGTATACAATGGACTGACATTTTTTCCATTGCCATTTACCAGAACTAAAACTAGTTATAACTAACCATACAGTAAGCAGAGAACAAAACCACTCACTCCTCATCTAGGGGGTAAACTGAGCCAACCAGTACAGAATCATTTGAAAAAGAGTGAACACTAAGTATAATAGTATAACACAGCATCTTTTTTCCATTATGGTACAGATAAGACTGCCTGTAGCATGCAGCCAGTATAATTTGAATTCAAAAAGTCACAAACTACTTCCAGCAAGAGCTGGTTCACCCTCTCCTCCTACCTGGGTTAGCCCACAGCAAACAGTCACAGAATCCAAACTTCTCACAATAATGGCTAAACTCACTCCTTAGGAATTAAAATCTTTTCACTGAATAGTCAAAACTTCCTGAGCTTTTAAGTATGAATTTTCACCAGAAGAGAAGGAATCTTCAACACCAGTATCTTAGATACTAGAGACTGCACAATATTGTTATTTCATCTTAAAACATCATTCAGGCATTCTAAGTGTTTTGTTAGGAAAGATTATCTACTGAAATAAAAGAGGAGTTCAGAACTAGGACTTTTTCCTACAGTATTTAAGTTACATGTACGTAACCTGAAATTCTTATGTGCTGCTTGCTAGGTTATTAAGACTTAATCAAATGGTTAAATCCATGGAAACTTCAGCAAACTAGAAAAAGCTTCAGTATATTTTAAGCATTGCAGCACTTGGTTCTTATTTTAGAAACTGTTAGTGACAGATTGGAGGAACAGCTTATGAAAATTTGCTTATCATATTTAAGTATTTTTGTATCTCAAAGTATCTCTGAGTTGGGTTTTATTTTTATATTGTAAATAATGGATGAGAACCAGCATAATCCACAGCACAGACACACATCTGTACTGTAGAATGAAGTGCTTAACGCTGCCTACTTCCTTGTAAGGTTTTTTACAGTACTATTACACACAAACAATTTAATTCTACATTACTTAGAAGTTTGGTATAGTTTTAAGTCAATTCCATGTAAAAAGCAAAAAAAGCAATGTATGATCACCGTCTACCTTATCTTCATTCTCAGTTTCTTGGCACTTTTTTTTTTTTTTTTTTTGACACTGGGAAGCATCATGAAGTAGCATATGAAGGCTAACTTACAAGCAAAGTTACTTCAGTGACATGACAGGATATTTTTCACATGTGCACTTAAGCAGCAATGCTCATTTGAATGGTGTCCAGCAAAATTATTTATTTTTAAAAGCCTTTTTTTTTCAGTAACTGAATTTAAGACATTGATTTTACAATGCCTGGTATAGAACACTTAAATTCAGAAGTGTTCAATCTTGCAGTATAGCTCTATTTTGTGGGCCTATAGAAGACTTGTAAGTAAACCCAAAACACATATGTTGTAAAGATACCAAGATGATAATGGAGCTTTATGGCCGTTAAGTCTGCCAGTAAGGGAAAATGGTTCTGGTACATCTTATAAGATTAGGTATGTTTTCAAAATTGCTCCATGAATCTTTATAAGTTTTTTTAAGTTTAAAAAAAAAAAAAAGCTCTGGGAAAGTTAATTTACAGTAAATGGGAAGACTTCACCTTGCACTGAAGTTAGTGGATCTGGTCTCTAGAACTGTAAGTCATACTTTATACCTACTGAAATAAGAAAAAGAATTTGGGTTAGTACCAAAGAACTTAGGATAAATTGACTAGCTAGATACTAATGATGGGATAAAGTCAGAGGTTGAACAGATTCTGATTTAAGAAACAGATAAGTGGATTTGCAATGATCTAAGAATTCTCTCTCATCTCTTAAAATACTTCCCAGGTGTGTGAAGCTAATCTATCTTAGCACATAGTCTTGGTTTTATTCTTTCCTTCCTTCTCTCCCACCACCTTTTTTAAAGGAGGGAAGAAAATCCACTACTAGAGTTCATAGCAATGTTTAGCACAGCTTTTTGCTACTACCAACTGTAGCTATCTCTCCAAGAAAACAGCAATAAAGAATGATTAACGTTTAGTACCGTTTGTGTCCACATGGGAGTGCTAAGCACATACCATAAAAATGCCAGTTCACAGTGGTTTCAAGTATATGTTAATCGTTTCTGGCACTAGAATTAAGTATCTATAGCATGACCAAACAGCAGCACATTTCTCTAAATGCTCAAGTTAACCTTTTAAATCCAAGTTTAAATTTAGGTTAGTCATTTAAGAAAGCTTGTTTCATAAATGAAAGTACACAACAGCATTTAAGTCATACTGACATGCCAGATGCACAAGCATAGCAACTTCTTTTTTTAAAGCATCTGGGAAGTTCAACATGTAAATGCTCTTCAGTAGAGAAGAGCATTTCACAGTTACCATACAGGTGCAGTTCATATGTCATCTGTAAGGAAGATTATTACTGTAACTCTAGGAAAAAATAATTACAGTGACATTCTACAAAACACTGGGTATCTACAGCCCAAGTAAGCCTATAATCAAGCAATCAGTGCGTTAAGTGAAGTTTAAGTTTCTCCTATTCTTTTTACCCACTGTAATCCTTTTTCCTCTTAGAATGAAACCATGTTTTCAGATTCATAGTATGTATATACAATTATCACTAAGGTCTTAAAATTAATAGTTTTTATTTATCAGCTGTGGTTTGTATTGGATAAACTACTAGAGCAGTAAGCACTAGCATATACCACTACTTACCACATTTCATTTCCATACATATAGGCCTAAAGAGTCTTCAAATACATCTATACCATCCAAATTTGCAAAAGCAATTTAAAGCTATTGAGAGAGTAGAGAAGTGGGGTTTTCTGCTAATTAAACACACACCCCTTTTGAGGGCTTTGATACAGTGGAGAGAATTTAAGCATTTAAGGGAAAGCTGAGCCAGAACAGGAATCAAGTATTTTGAGCTAGAGCTGCCATTTTAATTTTCCTTTTGTATTGCAATAGAAGTTTCTATCAAATTCAGCAGTAGAATAAAAGTTCACACTGCCCAACAAAAGCATCATCTTTACTTGGTTCTATTTCATCACTTTCACATTTTTTCCTTCCAGAAATATAAGTATAAAAAACCCAAACACCTCATCCTGCATGAAGAAATTGTACTTTGCAGATATATTACAGAAATCCCACAGAGACATGGTGGTGGTTATGCAGAGAATGAGCTATCTAGACTACCAAAGCATTTATTATTCATCCACCAGATGAAAACCACTGCTTAAGCTCCTTACTGAAACACTTCGTCATGTTATTTTCAAGGCATGATTACCACTAATGAAATTCGTTCACAATTTCTAAAAGATAGTATTACTACATGTGGCTTAATATGACCATATTTAAGATATCACAAAGCTTAGAACTCGGCTTAAAAAAGCCTCCTTATGCCCTATGAAGTAGTACTGATATAACAAGTATCTTCGGATATTTGTAGACTGACATTGAATAGACTCATTTCTGTGATACAGAAAAAGGCCTTTCATATAAATGTTTTGATAGTGGCTTTGCAGCTACTCCAGGTCTGCCAGGAAGAAGCAAAAGAAAACACAGGTGGACGCCTATACTCACAAAACTTCCAGGGGCACGTTATAAGATTCTAAGAAGCTAACTTTAAATAAAACCAAACATCCCACAAAATTTCTTTCTTAGCTAAGTTTTACCAAATATGTATTGTAAGGAACATTGTTTATTGTATTACTTTGATAATGCACAAAAATATTTGAAATGTACATCAATAATATTCTCATGTACAACTCGTATCAATTGATCCCCTTAACTAAAAAAAATTATATTTGAATACTCTATTGCATTTTGTAACTTTAACTGGACTTAAAAAAACAAGTTGTCATTTAAACTGTTCAAACTTGTCACTCAATTCAAGACATTCTTAAAATATGCAATATTTCCTTTATATTAGTATCAGTTCAACACTTAATGTAGTTTTATCTTTGCTATCAGGTTTTACTGAAGATTTGAAAATTTGAGTTAACTGCAGAAATTAATACAGAACATAAATGGTTAAATATGGTATGCTAATATTCTACTTTGCCTTCGCAAGAATACAAACAATAAAACCCAACAAGAACCAGGTAGCTGTTAAACTGTGGGTTTGTTACATGTTTACCCCATGGTAATTCCCCACCTTCTCAGCCAACTTCCTTAAATAGCCATATTAGTTGGACTAAGGAATCTGCATGCAAGTTTTACCATAGCGTCATTTAATGTGAAGTGGTTTTAGGTAATAAGTGAAAAAATGCTACTGTTGTAGGCATTCACCTTGGCATTTCTTTGTTTGGTTTTGTTGTTTTGTTTGCTTAAAGTTACAGAAACATGTGCCAACAGGTAAAAAAACTTAAATGCAGAACTATGGCTCCAAGCAAACTTGCTATATAGTTTCAGCTCCTAAAATTAAAAAGTTTATTTTAAATACAGTCCCCTTTTGGATTGCATTCCTCAAGTAGGTGAGATTTATAGGACTTCTGCCTGAATTAAGAACTGTATGTAGTAAGTAGTTTTGTTTAATATGTGTTTAACTACACAGTAGTGTGTGCTTTTGTGTGTATATGCATGTACCTACACTGATAGGCACTGTATAGCTACATATACAAGGTCAAACCACAGTTAAAGATAACAGACTTTGAAACTGTGTCCTTTTTAAAAAAAAATAATTTAGGCTCCTTGAGCTCAGATGTTAGCAGCTATTCCTAATTTGCAAAGTCATCAGGTAGCACAACAGTTTAAATATAAAATTACTAATAAAAATGTAAAAATTGGTATATAATAGAATATATGGGAGATAGTGCCGGTAAGTAGTATTTTAGGGTCATAAGATATTCATACCAACAGAATGTTAAAAAAGTCAAGACTCACTTCCAGCTGTACCAGTCATGCAAAGGTCTTACCTTCATTAGCAAGAGTAATGCAACAAACCACTCCCCACAACTGTGGGTTTTGTTTTTTTTTTTAATATACCTCAATACGCCGATATTGTGCCTTTACATTTTAGCATGTTTTTGCCCTTACACACTCCAGAACCCTGAAGATGAGACTTTTGGGTGCTTCTGTGGATGAGTGATAGTAATGAGAGTGTTAATGTGGTCTTTGGCACCTCTATCTCATTAATAAAGCAATGGCCTGCTCCATTTTTTCTTTAATAAAAAAATCCCATCAGTGGTGCACTCTATTAGCACTGAAGAGTAGAATAGGTCTGTACAGCCTGATGATAGGAAAACATATGAAATGGCAATATGTTTGTCTACAATTGTCTTTCCAATCAATTGCACAGAAACTTGGTCCACTTCTTCAGTTACAGCACAGTCCTCTTAAGAACTTTGGTTACAGCATTAATGTTTTGGTAAAAATAAACAAAGCAGATGCTTTCCTTGTTTTCTTCAGGTAGATTTTTCATTATCCTCTCCTGTCTTCTGAACCCGTGAATACTTTTTGCACGAAGATTTGAAGCAGCTCGGAGGCCAAGATATTGGCCAGGAAAAACTGCAAGGAACAGAGCCTTGCACATTCTTCTCAAAAAAATAAAATATTGGATACCACCATGCTCGAGAGAGAAAATTTGTCTGCGAAGATACCTTTAAAGTCTGTATTGGCATAAGTAGATAAAAAGGAAACAGACAATCAGTTTAAAGCATTATAACCAATTATGTTAAGTCAACTACAAAAATGCAAAGTATTTGCATGCATTTCTGCAAAGACAAGGTGCATTTAGCCTAGAAAAACAGTACTGAGACAATACAGACACCAAAATCCAAACATATACTACAAATTGAGCATCTAGCACAAAGACATGCTTTGCTGATGTACAAAATTTAGAAAGACAAAACACTCAAGTCTTATTGAACGTGAGTCTTCTCAGGCATGTCATGTTTCCACTGATGAGTAGGAATTGAAAACTAGATTAAAACGTCTTAGAGCCATGCTCCTACTTGAAAGTGTTCTTGAAACAACTGCAGCAGATGCCTTCTGAACAGTGTACTTTTAGTGATATTTACAGAACTGTCTCTAGAATGTTAAGGCAGTCTAGGTAATTTAGGTTTGTCAGAAATTTTATTACCAAACTACTGTTTATTCATAAGCTTAGACAAACTATACATCAACTACAGCAATAAAACCTTGAAGTTCAATAAAATGTGTTTAAGCCAAAATACCAGAATTTCAAAAATAAATTTATAAAAAACAGATTTTGAAATAACTTAGCAACAGGCGCAGATCAAAAAGGAACATCTTAATCCATTAACTATTTACCTAAACCACAGTAAAGTGGAACTCCTTGCTCAATTTGTTTAAACTTCAATATGGAACCTCTATTCTTATTAAGAACTAATTTTGACCTTTGAGCAGTATTAACAAATGCAGGCTATACATTGATTCTAAAAGGTATCTTCCACTCACCTTTTCATTAGCCATTGAGTGGTACCACCAGAAAAGCCGTGTGGTGATATAGTAAGCGATGATAACGTCTACAGTATAGTGTTCATGAGCAACAAGGATACAAATTATGCCAGCAGCACTCATTAGCCAACAGATTAAGTGATACCACCAGAAATGACGTGGTGAATCTGAAATAGGGAAGTGATGGGGAAAAACACAAAAAAGCCATATATGTTATTACAGTAGTCCACAAAGGGAAGGGGAAAAGATTAAAAAAAACAAACTATTTAATTAAGGCTACTAAATTTTAAAGCATAACTCACTGATACCACACTGGTACATGAATCCTGTTTTGACACAGGAAACAAGACTAAAAAATTATGCAAACTTACTGATGTGTTCTTAACTTTCTAAAATGAACCAAAGATAAGCTTGCAGTTAGACAGCACTGTCACCCGTTTTCTAGTCAAATTAAATAAGTTTTCCAGTTAAACAACTTCTAGGGTATGGGGTGCATGGGAAGAGACAGAACTGGGGCAAGACATACACCTTGATTATTTTACTTGAGTATATTGCATGTCTGCTCTTTTTACAGTCTACACTCAAATAAAATGTCTAGAATTGATAGAACCCAAGCAGAGATCACAGATTAAACAGGAAAAGACACTCTTATTTTAATTCCTAGGGTTTTTAACTACTTGTCATGAAGCCTCTGTTCTGTGAAACAATACACTGTACAAGAAAGTACAGTATGTGAATTTATACTCTTTCATTAAAGCTATTCTTCAAAATGCATTTAAGCCACTTCAGTAGAAAAGTTCCCCTGCCCTTCTTTTCCCCATTGAAAAATGCCTTGGGTGTCACAATTACCATTCATAACTTCTGACAGGCTAATGGGCTTCATTTCACTCACAGTGGGAGGTTCTGGCACCCCTTGCCTTGTGGTGCAATGGTCAGCCTTTTCTTTCAAATAGTACCAGCAGAAAAGTTACTGATATCAACAAACCTACCCAGTAGCAGTTTGAGAGGCCTGTGCAAAATAATTACTGTAGGAGGACTTAAATTTTGCTCTAATTGCCAAAAGAATAAATTCTCTTAACTCTTCCCAAAACACTGCTGACAAATCTTATCTACTGATTAAAAAAAAAAAAAAAAATCAGGAGCCAAGTCATCACAGGAAGTTGATGAAAACAGCCCCAAACAAGACAGACATACTGAGGCTAAAAATGTAAATAACTATTCTGGGCAAAAAAGCTTAAGTGTGGGAGAATAAGTGAAGAAGCAGCAACCACTGAAAGAAAGATAAGAGCAGAGCAAAAAATCCACTAAGCCAGAAATAATAAAAACTTCAGAACACATCTTGTACTGAAGACATGTCATCAAAAGAACAGAAAAGAACACCATAGGCAATCTCTAATTCAGAGCAATTATAGGGCTTAGCCCTTGCTCAAATAAGATTTTGCTAATTATATGGGAGGCAGAAAAAGGAAAGCTATGCACTTCTCATTTTACAGAGCACAACTCCACTGAAATATACATGCATAACAATTAGGCAGCAAAGGGCTTATTACAACAATTTGTACCATACAATTTCTCCAACCCTTTATGATAAAAGTACATGAGTTATACTGGCCCCGAAAATACTGGGTTATCTGCAGCTTTCTTGATACTAAATATATTAAGGAGTAAGTGACCAGCATTAAGCTGCAATAACGTACACAAACCAAGGCAAACAACAAGTCTACTATAAGGCTATTTTCCTAATTCTGTTTTGCTCATTTTGATGAGTTACATCTGCCATTCCCCCAGTAACATTTACTTTACAAGAAAGACCTAGGCCTAAGAATCAGCAGAGTATAATCTGCATCTTATATCACTGAAGAAGGTCTCACATCCAGAGATTTGAAGTTTGTCATATTAAACAGGCAGTTTTATATTGTATTTTTTTAAGGCAGAATATAGCACTGTAACACTTGTTAAAATATTGAAGGAAAAGGAAGACATTCAACAAATGCTGGCTGGTCTTATTTTTGTTTCAGTGAGAATCACACATTCCCATGAGCCAAGCTAGCACTTGCATAGTTTGGGACACAATAGTAGGAGAGAAGATTCCAATTCCAAACATGAACTGGAAAGGGAACTCCCCACCGTGTGTTCATGAGCAGCCAAGATCCCAGGGTAGAAGCATTGCTTACCATGTATCAGAGTTAGAAGCTGGTGCTCAATTCTCCAAAGTTTCAATCAGCGTTCTCTATGCAGCACAGATTGTCCCCCCATGCCTCACACCAGTATAAAGCAAAGGAGGAAACCATAACCCCATCTTCTCTGTGCTTGCCAAATTCTTACTAACTCCAAGAGGCATAAATAGGAGATCAACAGAAGACATCCAAGGAGCATGAATCAACTTCTCATTTTTGCCAATACTAAATGTATAGCACACTTCAGAAACATAGCTTTGTTTCTGGATATATGTGTGCAAGAGCACTGTGCTCACACCATAAAACCCCCTTAAAATCTAAGCTATATCAGCCAACTTGCACAGAGATAATCTGCATAATTAAGTACAGCATGTTTTATCCCAAATTTTAATCACCTAATCAATGAATAATGAAAAGCTAGCTTGCTTCAATCAACCAGTGAACACTTCTTATATAAAAACAGAAGTGATACATCTAGTCACATTAAGCCCTTAAAGCCCACATCATTTACTATACCACGTCCCATTTTCGCTGAAAGTCATTATTTGTATTTCAAAACCCTACACATACAGTCTATGTACAGCTGACTAGTAACAATAGTTTTACATGCAGTTTTATCATGCGTCTGCCCAGTACAACTGATCTGAACAAGAAAAGTGCACGGATATACCATCACTTACACTCTTTGATGAACAAGTAGATCAGTGTTAATACCACAGTGTGACCACTAAACAGGAAATCTCCACACAGGATGTGTGATCCAGTTATGGATAGACCACCACCAGAAATCAGTCGCAGGATCCTCTGAACCTTTGCCTGAGAATCTCCATTCAACTAGAACACCAGGGAAAAAAGAGGGACAAAAAAAAGTTTAAAGACACACCATACGTGACTTGAATAAACTTCTTGCCCAAACATATGTGGAGACAGGGATACAAGGAGAAAAGGACACAAGTTATCTTCATTTTCTTTGGCTTTCCTTCATGTATTCTTAAACAAACAACCACACATAAAGTTGACAGCTTGATAACACTAGCATTCTGTCTGTGCTTTTGCAGGCTATTTTAAAATATGTATTGTATGAGAGAGATGCAAAATACACTGGAAAGGTAAACATTAAAAATTGGTGAGGTTGGGTGTCTCATGACAGCCATTGGCAGAATGCATAAAACCCATTTAAAAGGGGTTTTAGTACAACTTTGTCATTCTGTTGACAGCTGAGCAATGTTTCAGCAGGATAAAAACCTCAAACTCACTTTATTTTAGATTAGTTACAAACTCAGTCAGGATTTACTCCCACTTGGAAGTTTTTTGGTTTTTTTTGTGTTTTTTTTTTTTAACATGCATTAGGATCAGCTGCTGATTCCTCATGGATACTATGCAAACACTCAGTTTCACCTAGCTGTTTAAAGATTAACTCTGGAAAAAAAAAACAACACAACAACCCAACAAGATAAACAGGTAACTGAGTTTTCCGTAATCAGAAAAATATTTACATGGGACAAAAAGGAATATCCAGAACTATCAAGTTTTTCAGAGTTCAAGTAATACATCCTGTTCCAATGCTAGTAAAATACACTTTCAGCACAGATATTTAAGTTATCCTTTGCTCACCTCTTCCCAACTCCTTGATACAGTCTACTACACAAAGTCATTCCCCAAGCTAGTAGAACAAAAGTTGAGTCCTTACAATAGTGGTATGTAAATAAAGCTTTTTCAAATAGATACTGACTCCTAAGAGAATTAGTTCATTTACTATATTCCAAAATTGTCCCAACGTGAAAGAGTAAGACTGAACAGAGATGATGCTACCTCAAGACTGATTAGATCCTGCCCAAGAAGTCACAAACTTATCCCCCAAGCAAACTGGCAATATTTTTAGCTTTCAAAATGCTTATCTTCTCAGTGCAAAACCAAACTGCTTCTTACTCTTTCAAATGCATTGTTCTTTCAGTGCAGTCAACACAATACAGTTTGTTCCAAGACAATTCTACATCCACAACTTTTTCTCAGCAACATAAAATGGCATTAACAGAATTCCTTTGTGTCACCACTTAACTACACTGACATAAATTTTTTAAAATATATTTGTAGAAATATTAGCATGTTTTGTGTACACATATTCACATATTTCTGTATATATCAGCTCATTTAAATAACAACTTTAGTCACATTTATACACATTTTGTAGGTTGGAAGCAGAGACAAGCAGCTGACTTCAGGTATTGGAATAGCTCTTGACAAAATAGCATGAGAAGCATGGACAAAGCATACGATAATGCTGGTTTTTGAAAGGATGCTGCAACACAAGCTTGTGTATCAGCCTATGAATTACAATATTGACCTCAGGTATCCCATCATGCAAGAAAAAAAAAAATATTGCTGCAGTATTAAAGTGATTAGATTGAGCCTCAGAAGCAAGTTCACTAATTTGGTAGCAGCACTACTTCAACATAGGTACTCTTCTTTAAAGCAGCTTCACTGCAGCAACAGCTTAAAACTCTTTCTGTATCACATAACTTCTAGTTTATCACTATGTTTCTGAAGACATCAAATGAAAGTAATTTGTGTTATTAAATAACACCTGGAACATTATCCTCTATTTGCTCAAGCCATAAGGACGTGGGCAGAGACTAAAGTAAGAATTAAGGAGCAAAGGCTCTTACCTTTGGCGCACACTGAAAATGCATTCCAGGCACAGGTAAGGTGGTAACATACATAGTAATACAGCGGTACAGATACAAAGTTCCTATTATAAAAAAGAACCTTCGTCCCACTATTGATCTGCAAGTAAGGGAAGGGGAGAAAATAGATTGAGTACAGAGTTCACATGCAGGGGATACATGTAACAGTTACAGAGCTCCAGCTTTATTACATAGCTAAATCCCCAGAACTGAAAAGCAGCTCGAGACACTGCTCTTGATCACACACTTCAAATCAGATACTAAAAAGACTTTCTTCAGGTTTTAGTCTTGCTATTTCATAATAGTATATAACTACCACAATGCTCCCAAAGCTATCTAACCAGTTTAACATGGCTTTAAGTCTAACTTAGGCATGCAGTCAGGCATAGGTTTCCTTGACTCCGTGACCTTCTCTTTTCAGTTCCACAACATAACTATGTACTCAATTTAAATCTCTCTAGTTTAAGCAAATGAACACAAAAGAAAAAAGGTCTAGGTGGACAGTGGATTGCTCCTCAAATTTGGATGAGTTTAAGTCATCATGATCTCCCTACTTTAAACATCACCATGTCAGTAAACACTTTGAAAAGCCCAATCCCAGAATAAATTTGACTAGTACAACATAGGCGTCAAAAATTCATATCTAAAAATGTTAGTTAGTAATAAGGAGAAGCCTGTGTTTCCATATCCAACATGGACACTGGAACATTTTCTACCGAAGTTGTCCCTTTAGTCATTTTTCTGCCAGCCCTACTCTACAATATTGTTACAGGTTCTACCGTAAGATTTCTTCTACCCAAAGTGAATGAGGGAAAACAACATTCTGAAAAGATACATTAAAAAAATATATAGCTACTTACTTGTATCTAAGAAACAACCACTGGAATATCCATAATCCAACTAGTATCATTCCATTTATTTCTGATACAGAAAAAGCCCATTTCACACGATCAATGTAATCAAAAAATTTGTCAGGTAAGGGAGGGCTTAACTCCTTTGGAGGTACTCTCTCATGGACCACAGTGATCATGACAGTTGTTAGAATCAAGTTGAAGAGAGCATAGACAAAGGCAATGCCTGTTTTCCACCATTCCAAAGGAAATTTATTCCTAGACTCAGCAGGCATAGCAATCTGGATGTAATCAGGATATTTCTTTGTTGTTTTTCGCAAGCCATTAGACAAGCCCTTTGGTTTGCTAGTGCCATTTTTGTTCTCTTCATTGACAGAGAGAGTAGGTCGTGAGTAGCCATTAGAAGTATCATTGTTTTGACCCTCCATATGCTCTTCAAGCTTTGCTGTCTCAATAGTATTCATTCCCAAACTGTATGACCAAATCAGGTTTATCAGTGACAGATTTCTGGGCTCTCTAAAGTCTGTTATTCCTTGAAGTCCAGTGTTCTTGTTCCTAGATGATTGTAGATTTCTGTAAAATTAAGTGTCCATTGTGCTTTCGCTATTCAGATACTGTATAGCAAATTGTGAAGACAAATTTTTCTTTCCTCTAGAGCTGTATCAGCTGGAAAAACAAAAGAAAACAAAGCAGATACTAAGGATCTTCAGAACTAGTAATGCAACACTTAGCAAGTATCGTAAAAATGCTTAGACTAAATTCCACCCAGGTCTACTTACATATACAGTCAAAAGACAAACTAGAGACAGGTGGTTACTGTGAAATAATTCAGGCCAGTTCCTACTGAGTAACTTGAAAAGTCTCTGATCAGTTTAGGGACTAGTACCAGTTTAGACTTTTTATTTTTAAAAGCACAAGATCCATAGAGACTTTAATGATCATGATAGCACAGTTGTCATAATTAAGACTAATCCATCAGATATTAACATGGTTTGTCGATGTAAATCAGGCAATCTTGTTAGTCCAGAAGACAGGACAGAAAACAGAAAGCACTACAGGATTTGATTTTGTTAGGCAGAAAGGAATTTAGATTAATATAGAAAATCTCCATTATGGATAACTCCATTACATTCTCTTGGATCTAAACAAGTATTTCAACCAAAATTTAAAAATGTGTCTACATAGTTACTACAGTCTCCAATAAAAAATGCCTGAAACTTCAGAGAACTGAAAAAAATATACCTCTGGATTAGAGTCTTAGTTATGGTAACCTATACGTAGAACAGACTACAAATGGATCAGTGTTTGTCCTTTAGTTACTTAAAAATATGTCTAAATAGTTTTTTTTTTAAACAGAAACAAATAGCAAGAATCATTATCGCACAGGATTTGAGGCTGCATTTAATAATTCAGTAAAATCTCACTAGATTAATATAATTAGGTAAGTGCCTATATTTTACAGCATTTTCTACAAAGAGAAAAGAATGCAGATCACCATCACCCTCTACAGAACTGACATTGCTCCAGTCAAAACAAAGGCCATTCCCATCTCTGATCTTTAAAGTTCTGTGAAACCACTTACCATAGTTGCAATGTACCTATTTTTATTACTCTGCTCAGCTCCTATGGCAAAAGTAGTATTACCATATACAAAGTCTTCCCTATATGCCAACAAGTTATAATATTCTCTTGTTTAAATTGTTCCTCTAAGAGAAGTCCAACCATACCACCACCTCAAGTCTGTCCATGCCAATATAGTCTGCCACAGTTTGCCATACTATATGTACAATTAAGTTATCAAGATGGAAACTAGAGCTGCCAGTCTCCCTAACTGTACATCACACAACTTGGCTTAAGAGAAAACTATCTCCTTCAGAAAAGTCTCTTGATAGCAAGGAGAATCTAAAACAAAAACAGCCTGGAAAAGTCTGGTGTTTGTGCTTTGGTCCCTCCACTCTCATGCCTCCAAGCAGAGAAGACATTTAACATGATCAGCATCTAAATCCTACTGATTTCCTAGCTGCTCCTCTTACTGCTGAAAGAGAAGGGGTAAAGGTTCAGATCCCAAATATATGAGATTCACATAAATAACACTGAAATAGTCAAGCATTTCTAAATTAAGCTCTCAGCAGTGTTTCTGAAATTCACTGTCACTGGCTTACCTGTTCTAAATCCATAATCAACAAGCACATGAAAACTAGAAAACACACACACACACACCCCCACACCTCAGCAACTGTCTACCACTTGCCACCACTGTCCATTGTTTCCACACCTCCCCAGTAACACTCAAGAAAACAGTGATTTCAGATGCTTTTTCTAGCTCTTACTACTCATACCATAAACTCTGCGTCCATAAAAGGGGATGTTTAACCCAGCAGCCAGACAATGACCTCCCTGATGCTTTCTACAACTAAGACTATTCTTTTAGAACAGGTACAGAAACAACAGCCTTACTTAAAACTGTAGTAGAGTAACATTTCAACTTCCACAAGTCCTTTTTTTAGCACGCACATTCTTCTATTCCCTCTGTCTACTAAAGACAGACTGTCATGGTTTAAGCCCAGCTGGCAGCTAAGCACCTAATAGCCACTTGCTCACTCCTACCTGCCCCAGTGGGATGGGGAAGAGAATCAGAAGACAAAAAATTTTTGTGTTGAGATAAAGTCAGTTTGACAGGACAACACAAGGAGAAATGAAAAATAATACTAATAAAAGAATATGTAAAGCAAGTGATACACAATGCAACTGTTCACCACCCAGAACCCAATGCCCAGTCTGTTTGTGACCCCTCCTCCCCACTCCTGGCCAGCTACCCCAGTATAGAATCATAAATGGTTTGGAAGAGACCTTAAAAGATGATCTAGTTCCACCCCTTCTGCCATGAGCAGGGACACCTTCCAGCTCAAAGCCCCATCCAACCTGGCCTTGAACACTGCCAGGGAAGGGGCAGCCACAGCATCTCTAAGCAACCTGTGCCAGTGCCTCACCACCCTCACAGTGAAGGATTTATGTCTGATCTAAATTACCCTCTTTCAGTTTAAAACCATTACCCATCATCCTATCCCTACACTCCCTGAGGCAGAGTCCCTCCCCAGCTTTCCTGTAGCCCCCTTGAAGTACTGGAAGGCCACTGTAAGGTCTCCCTGGAGCCTTCTCATCTACAGGCTGAACAACCCCAACTCTCTCAGACTGTCCTCACAGGGGAGGTGCTCCAACCCCCTGATCATCTTAGTGGTCTCCCTTGGACCCACTTGAGCAGGTCCATGTCCTTCTACTGGGGATCCCAGAGCTGGACACAGCACTGCAGGTGGGGGTCTCACCTGAGCAGAGCAGAGGGGCAGAATCCCCTCCCTCGACCTGCTGGCCACACTTGATGCAGCCCAGGACACAGTTGGCTTTCTGGGCTGTGAGCGCACATTGCTGGCTCACAGTCAGTTTTCCATCCACTGATATCCCCAAGCCCTTCTCTGCAGTGCTGTTCTCCATCCACTCCTCACCCTGCCTGTATTTGTGCTTGGGATTGCCCTGACCCATGTGCAGGACCTTGCACTTGGCCTTATCAAACTTCATGAGGTTTGCACAGGCCCACCTCTCCAGCCTGTCCAGGTCCCTCTGGATGGCACATCCCTTCCCTCCAGCATGTCAACCGCATCACACAGCTTGGTGTCATTGGCAAACTTGCTAAGGGTGCACTTGATCCCACTGTCCACGTTACCGACAAAGACATTAAACAGCACCGATCCCAGCACTGACACCTGAGGAACATCACTCATCACTTGAGCACTCAAACCATTGACTGCAACTCTGAATGCAACCATCCATCAAATCCACGTCTCTTCAATTTAGAGACAAAGATGTCGTGTGGGACAGTATCAAATGCTTTGCACAAGTCCAGGTAGATGACATGAGTTATTTCTCTCTCTCTGTACACTGAGAATGATGTCCTACAGTATTGAATATCCCCCTGACTAGCTTGGGTCAGCTATCCTGGCTGTGTCCCCTCCCAGCTTCTTGTGAAAATCAACTCTATCCTAGCTGAACCCAAGACATAAGCTTACAACAGAACACTTAAGTGATTGTATAGAAAGAATTTGAACCTCATTGTTTAAGTTTTGGAACACAAATCTACTTAGCATTCACCTACTAAATCAAGGCCCTTCTCAACATGATGTTATACATAGCAGTCACTGATGTAGAGATCAGCAAAAACCTCATACATTTAATATCCTGCACAGTTGAAGCATTTTTAGAATTATGTATTTACTTAAAAAGACAGGGCATCACAGTACATAGGTACCTTTGTTCCTTCTCTTCACAAATACCTAAACCCGCTAGTAATGTAAGTAAAAGGAAGATTTTAATTTTCAGATAGTAATGACATTGAGGTAAGACAAAGATCGAAGAGCAACTGAACTACATATGAACAATAACCAAACAACCTAAAGTAGAGTGACACCCAGGTTTTTCTATTAACTTATTAAACAATGAAATTATACCTACAGCTTGCAGGAAAATGTTGTGTTCCTTCCTGGTACTTTTAAAAGGATTGTAAGGCATATCAATCTACCACTTCTGATGGCTCATCAAGGTTATTTCAAGCAGAGCGTATATTGTGGTCAAACCTTTGTTTACATTGGTAGTTTAACATGCTATATATCATCTGATCAGTGATCTGCAAGAACATAAAGGCTTTCCTTCATAGTACCTTTTCAACCTGTTGCTCCCATACTCTAAAAGAAAGCAGAAACTTTTGATGAAAAAGACAAAACTACTCTGCTTGAAGCTTTCAGTCTCTTGCCAATTTGACTGGCCAGAAAAGTGATAGACACAGAGCACCAACAGCCTAATCATCCTCTGCTACAGGCTGCAAAAGCAACTCCCCGGTAGTACTTAAGTTTTTCTGCCAACTTCCTGACTCCAGCTCACATACCTCTCCAAGTCCCCATGAAGGGTGTGGTTCCTTTTAGCCTCCCTGTTGTCCTTATGTTAATTTAGGTAAAATATCGTAGTGCTTCTTTTGCAAAACCTGGAACATTCCCATATGAAAAACAGGAGATGCCCATAAACTACCTAGTAGCAGGCCTAAAGACTTCAGTAACCAGGCAGCAATGCTCAGACCTGGCCATCCTGCCAACATCTAGGCTCTAAAACAAAACAAAACCAAAACCAAACCAAAAAAATCAAACTCAATTGCTCAAAGCTATACAATATCCCTGGGGGTAGTCACAAAGACCTACACAAAATTGGCCAAGTAACCTAAAAGGATAAGTAAAATTCCTGCAAGGGATACACCCAGGTTTGAGGAACAAGTTTCCTTTTTGGAACCACTTCAATACCTTCTAAAAATAGACGTGTACCCTCATCAACAAGCAGAGCTTCCTAACCAGTAATATTACAGCAGAAATTATAACTGCCACAAGGAACAACTTATTTCAAGGAAAACCTTAACAGTGAAAAAGATGCGAAAAAGCTGGGGTCTCAGCTGTTTATCCAGAGCTTCTACTCACTCCCATACGAGTAGCTCTTAGTTTTCTGCATCCTCATTTGACTGTCACTCAAAAGAAAACAGTTGACCGGGGTACAGCTTTGAGACAAGTGTAAGAAAGTATGTCTACATTTGGCTCTTTATGCTAGAACTTAAGAAGCAGTTTTATTTAGCTTGT